AAAAAAAAAAAAAAAAAAAAATCACAAAAGGAAAACAATACCGTAGTTTAAAAAATCTTTGGGAGGGGGCGGGATTGGCAGTTGAGGGAAACTGCCAGGGGAAGAAGGGGCACACCTCATCAGCAGGGATACCTACATAATGAACATGTGTATACATAACCCTGAACTGTACCCCACATCTTTAAAATAAAGAAAAAAAATCTTAATAAAATATTCCCAGTTAGCCATCCTGTTTTGTACATTGGGAAATAAAGTAAAATATCATATCATCGTTACACATACATGTAATAAGACACGACACAGATAAAATAAACAGCTCTCTGAGTCTTGAGATCATGAGGTTTCAGACTTGATTTTTCTACTTGGTTACCTAACAGTCCGTTTCATTTTTCATAAGCTGGGTCTGAAACCAGGCAGGTCAACATCATTAGCAAATTCTCCCGCTTCTGACTTCTCTCTCATCACAGAGACAACTGATTTGCTGGTTTGGGTGGCACCACTCTGAAGACTCACCATGTGTCAGGAGTTGTGTCCAAGAACTACCCATACATGTCACTTCATTCTCACTGCAGCCCTCTGGGGCACCAGGAGGTTAAAAAACGTGGACCAAATCACACAGCCAATCAGGAGCAAAGCGGAGACTCCCAGATCTCCTGCTCCTAAGCAATGCGCTAAGGGCCCGAAACCTGGGAAAGTAACACCGGCTGGGGAGGCGTGAATGGGTTCCCCTCGGAAGCAGAGCAGCCAGGGACTGCTGCTTCAACGGTTCTTACTTCTCGATTTCCAGCGCTGCCACCTTCCGCTTTTCGTATAGCTTGTCATTGAGGGCGCGCACGATGTTGGGTGTGAGCGGCGCGAAATCCTTCTCAGGGTTCATGGTGACAGCTCGAGGGTCTTCGCGACTCTAGCCCGCGGCTGCCGGGGCCGCGCCGGGGCCAGAGGAGTCTGCGGCTCCGCGCTGTCCCCGGCGCCGGCTCATGGACCACGCCGCCCCAAGCCCGCCTGCCTCGCTCTGCCGCCGCGCCTTGGAACCTGGGCCCAGACCCTGCTTCAGCACACCGGACCCTGGCCGCCTAACAGCTCAGGCGACTTGCTCCCGCCAGCACCAGCAGCGCTCACGGGGCAGCGGCCATGTTACTCGGGTCACATGACTCCGCAGCAGCTTCCGCCTTCCGCCGTGAGGACACGCCCCTCACCGCCACGCCCACGCACGCAGGCCGCAGGTGGATTGGCCCCGCCCCTCCCCTCCTCTCTCCTCCTCCCACTCCCCTCTCCTCGCCATAGTCCAAGTGTGGTTTGAGACGTGCTTTACGGTCCAGTATTAGGCACTCATTTGCTGGCACGTGGTGGGCTTCTGCAGACGTTAGTGAGACTAAATGAGTTCTTGGAACATGATTTACTTAGAATATCAATACTAAATGAATTCAATAGTTCTTTAGTAATCATCAATTTCGCATATGCCACATGAAAGGTGGTACCTATAGAAACCTAGAAAAAACTTAGCTTATTCTTAGTTTAGTCTGTTTGCTTCAGCATAACCATTAGAAAGTGATCGGACATTCTACTGCAGGACAAGCAGCAGCCTATCCCATCCCCCCCTCAGCAAATCTCCGTCAGATGCAAGACCAGGACAACCCAACCTTTCAATTCATTGTTTAGTATAATAATCTCTAGTAAACTTTTAGTTTCCTTGTCAAGGCTGAAGGTCAAAGATCACCCTTTGGCTGGCCAAAGTCACAAAAGTGATAATATGACCACCTTTGACCAAGCAATTTGTGACGTGCAATTGTCTAACAAATCTCTTGCCGGAAAAAACCCCTCCAGGCCCAAACTCCCCAAGTTAACCTAATCAGCCCTTTGTGGAATTTGTGAATTGCAAATATCTAACAAGTCTCTTGCAGGAAAAAATCTCTCCAGGCCCAAACTACCCAAGTTAACCTAATCAGCTCTTTGTGACCTATGTGACATAGATCAACCCCACCATGGCAGCAATCATGTGACTAACCCACACATCTGCCTGCTGTCCATCACCTGATGTCAGTACCTGTGCTTGCCTGCCCCTTTGTGATGATTTGGAGCAGACCACCACCCAAGCACCTTAATGATCTTTCCCCATCAAAGGGAATGGTTAAAAGGACTCAACCACAAGCAGCCAGCAGCCATTGCCTTGCTAGACTCTGGTGTGGCCATGTGCTCTTTGAACTATGACTGTTGCCAGGCTTCCTGGCTTTGGCCCCCTCCCCCACCTTGGGGGGTGACTCTTTTCTCTCGCTTCCTTCTCTTTCTCTCTCTAAATTACTTTTAAATAAACTTTTCTTTCTTTGCCTCTTTGTGTGTTGCAATTCTTTGCATTATTCGGATCTCTGGGTTACTGGTGCAGTGCCTCCCTTCGCCTCTCCATCCACCCTGACCCTATCCGTACCCTAACACTTATCTTTCAGAGTCAACCGAAACTTAAAACAAGGACTAGGTAACAATGGAACTCCATGAATACCAGGTATGGACAGACTTAGAATGCGTGGTGATAACTTTTATAATGAATGAAAAGTATACACACAGAGCTTATAACAATCTTGAAAATGGAGCGTTATCCTCAATTCATAGATCAGAAACAGGGATGCAACGAGTGAAAGACAATAGCAGGCAGAATTCTTGGATGGCCCCCAAGATTCCCACCCTGTATAATCTCCTCCCCTTGAGTGTGAACAAGACTTGCAAATATGATGGGATATCACTCACATGATTATATTATGTAATATAGCAGAAGGGATGTCATTAAGGTCCACAATCGGTTGACATTAAATTAATGAAAGGGAAGTTATGTTGGTGGGGCCTGACCTAACCAGGTGAGTCCTTAAAAGAGGTTAGAAGACACCAGGGATTGGTGGCTCAGCCTGTAATCCCACGCCTTTGGGAGGCTGAGGTGAGTGGATTGCCTGAGCTCGAGGGTTCGAGACCCGCCTGGGCAACTTGGCGAGACCTCATCTCTACAATAAATCAAAAT